GCCCTGAGCAAATATTTTCTGATGTAATAGCTAACTGATAAGAAATACTGCTAAGAAGGGAGATAACAGCTTTGTGAGTCATGTCAGGAATTCAGACTTCATCCAGCAGCCAGAAGGAAGAATAGGATGGTTTCCCATGGGAAAATGGCAGGATCTGATGTCACATACAGCACAAAGGTTCCCCAGAGAAAATTGACTGGGGCAGAGAAGAACAAGGTTGATAAGCCCCAGGCAGGAAGCTATGCCCAAGAGTTCTTCACAACCAATGGTACTCAATGAGACATTTAGAAACTAGAATCAAAGGCCTCAGTGGCGATGTAATAGAGGGAGGGAGAGAGGCCCTGCCTAGAGTGGAAGATGGGAGACAGCTCGGGTGGTAAGGTTCTTGTTCTGCAAGCACAAAGACCTGAGTTAGATTCCCAGAACCCCTCACCCCACAGCCAGGTGTGGTGGCATGTACTTGTAATCCTAGTGTTATGGAGGCAGAGACAGATAGATCCCTGAGGCTGCCTGGCCAGCTACCCTAGCCTACTTGGTGAGGTAAGTCAACAAGAGATATTTGTCTCAAAAACAAATAAGTAAAGTAAGGAGGAAAAAACTTGTAGATGGCTCCTGAGGAATGGCATTTATGGCTGACCTCTGACCTCCACACACATGTGCGCACACACAAGAGTCCAGGTTTGAATCACTGGAGGGGATGTTAATATGTAGTATGCATCAAAGCAGTAAACACCAGGGGTATTCTTGTGAAAGATCAAGAATTGCAAACTGAGCTGGGTTTGCTGGAACACACCTTCAATCCCAGCACTCTGGAGGCAGGGGCAGACACATCTCCATGAGTTTGAGGCCAGCCTGGTCTATATAGTCTAGTCTACATGGTGAGAGCTGTACAGCACTGAGGAAGCAGAGGAGGAGGGATAGGCATTTTAGGCCAGCATGTGGTACACAGTTAGACTGTGCATCAGAACAAAAGTCACATACACCAAAGACCCCAAAGAATCCCAAGGTGTACATGTGTACTTCAGAAGCCTGCAGGACATCCACATGAGAATGCCCAACTATGGTCTGAAAACTAAGTCAGACTGAAACTGGAAGTTGATGCTGAACTTGTCAGCAAGTAGCTATCTGAATGTACCTCTCCTTTGCAGTTTCAGGAGGCTTGCTGTGCCAAACTTGCTAAGCATCAGCTGCTGATGGTGACACCTTCCTGGTGTCAGACTAGCTGAATCACTGAACCACAGTGACAGGGGCCAGGCCTACTGCAATCTCCAAACTGCTCAGCAGCCTAAAGGGGAGAAAAACTCATTACAAAGCCATCTGTCCTGATATCCTGTCCTGGTTTCTAAGCCAAAGAAATCAGAATCATTCTGAGAATTTAAATAGCGCACACAGTGTGGGCAAGCTCTGTGGATACCTGTCCTGCATGCTAGTTTGCTGTGTAGCAGCCAGCCGCTCAGACAGCTGCAGAAGGCGTATTACCCAGTGGGTCCCTGGCTGTGCCTTCATCTCCACAGGAGATAACCAATCAGAAGGTCACAATTCAGAGCACTCAGCATTCCATTGGGTACATATAAATGATGTATTTACTAATACGTTTCCTTTTCTGTTTTTAGCCCTACATGAAGATATTATACAATAAAATTAAAAGATAACAGCAGTGATGGAATTGATGGCCAATTTGAATCTCAACTTTAGTAGGGAAACTTTCCTGGATTCAAGCCTTTCCTCCCCTAATTTCTTCTAATCTGTATTCCCAACCCCCATCCTTTCTCTGTGTTCTGTAGGACGGGGTCTCCTTTAGCCCAGACTGGGGTTGTACTGTCTAGGATGACTTTCAGCTCCTCATCCTGCACTGGGAATACAGGCAGGGACACCATGCCTCTTCTATGTAGTGCTGAGGACAGAACCAGGGGTCCTATGCAGGGTAGGCAAGCACTCTATCAACAGACAGTTTAATCTGAACTTTGTTTAGCAAAGCCAAGCAAACACTCCAAAGAGAGACTAGCTGGAGTAGGCTGTCTCAGGGGAGGGAGCAAGCCAATGCATTGTGTTGTGAATTCTAAAGAAAATTGTATGAATATTTATGAGGTGGGTGGCATTTTGGTGGAGTAAGGTGACCTTATTTCCCTACTAAATCATGCTGGACTGGATCTCCATTTCAGGGTATTTCTTCACACAATCCTCTAGAAAAGCCCACAGAGGAGGCATCGACACCACAATGACAACTGTCTTTTGGGGACGCAGACCCTCCATGACTACATAGGTGTGAGAGAACACCCTGGTGCTTTAGTTTCTGTGATAGTGGGGACGGTGTGACTGCAGCCTCAGAGATGTCGAACCACACAGGAGTGTTCTGACTTTTCATCAGGGGTCAGAGCTACCATAGCAACTTTTCTGTTTATCAGCTCTTTGCCTTCCCAGTACCAATCTGACTAGTCCAGATTTTATCCCTCACTCATATTTATAGCTTTACAGTTCAATCAAAACCTTCCCCAGGGCTCAGTATGTCATTATAAGAAATTGAACAAACACCCACCTCCCACTACTTGTGAACCTGGATTGTCATCCACAGGAGAGAAACTGCCCAAAGAAGCTTCTTTAAGACCTGGGTGTGTAAAGGAGAATAATCAAGGTCTGTGGAAGTGATGGGTTTTTCCTTAGTGTATCCAGGTGAATGGAGTCGGATGGCATTGCGAGCCGAGCTCAGTGATGGTCATTCTTTCAGGGCTTTGCATGCAGCCAAGTGCTTTCAGAGCAGAGTAATAAAGGCATGGCTGCCTTCAGAACATCCCACCACCAACACCTGCTCCTAAATGGCTCTCACATCTAATGATCCACTCCAACTTCCCTATCAAGGGCCCCTCAATTCACAATGGACTCTCCCTTTGCTCTGCAGTCCTTTATTTCTCTTCACTGGTCCATATAACAAAACCCTCAACTGTAAGCTGGATGCTGAACTGAACCCAGGTTCAGAGACATCCCTCTCATCCAGACCTTCAGGTCCTGGTGACCTTGGGAGACAAAATACAAAGAGGCTTGCAACTGCCAATCCCAGACACTACCTTCAAAAGGCAAAATGTAACACCATTTTTGGAAGGCAACTTTTCATTGTTCATTGAGTCAGAAAACTGCCCATACTGTTTGGTCCAGTCCACTGACTCAACTGTCTACAGAAATAACCAGAAATGCAGGTGTTCATTCTGTGGCAGAAACAAACACCGTGACCAAGAGCAACTAACAGGAAAGAAAGATTCATTTGGCTTATATTTCCGGGTCACAGTCCAGGAAACAGTGCCATCCACAGTGGGCAGGGCCCTTCTACATCAGCCACCAACCAAGAAAATCCCCCCCCCCAGACATGCTCACAAGCCTATATGATCTGGCCAAACCCTAAATTGAGACTTCCTTCTCAAGTAACTCTGGGCTGTGTCAAGTTGACAGTTAAAGGATATGTGGAAAGACTGGCGCCTACTGCCTGGAGCATGGTTCAGATGGGAGAATGCTTGCCTGCCATGCAAGATGCACTGGGTTTGGTCCCCACACCACATAAACTGAGCATGGTTACTGTGGGGCGTTTACCCACCACCCCCACAGTTCCCCAGAGTTTTCTTGAGTGCGATCAGCAGGAAATATTAGAAGGATTTATTGCGGAGAATATCTCGGAGATAAACAGAAAATAAAGGATAACCTCGAGAGGGCCTGGAACCTATTCCAATGGGCCCCGACTGTGTCTGGCCCAGGGTTTTTATAGAGACGCCAAGGGGTGGAGCAAAAGACCTCCTCCCCCAGCACAGCCAAGTGCAGACCATCTCAGACACCTGCACTCAGGCCCGTGGTCCTGATCATCCTCTATTCGGACCTGCTGGGTAAAGTCACAAGGAACCCGAGAACAGGCTCCCACAGGTTACACAGCTTTATGTTATCCTAACTTGGGAGATAGCGGCAAGAGGATCAAAAGTCTTAGGCTGTCCTATGCTGCATAACAAGTTCAAAGCCAGCCTGGATACATGAAACTCTGACTCACAAAATAAATTAAAAAAAAAAAAAACCTGAAGCCATGGCTTCCCCATCTTGACAGACTATACCCTCAAACTGTGAGCCAAATTAAATACTCCTTCCATAAATAAATAACAAGTGTGGCATGGTGATGCACACCTGTATGAAGTCCCAGGTACTCAGGAGGCCAGAGGAGAAGCCTAATCTGTGCACAGAAGTTCCTGAAATTAACAGAATCCCACACAGTAAAAGAGTAATTGTGTAGCAATGTAACTCTCAAGAAAGTGGTTTTAAGAACCTTGTTTGATCCTAGTTATACAGAAAGCCATAAATGCATACACACAGGATAAACATAACGAGCTGAAATGTCTCTCTAGCTTGTACAGTTGCTGATTTCTATTTTATTTCTGCCTTTCCCATACTTTCTACTCCAAATGTGTTAATTTTATAATAAAAAAAACCAAATGTTTCTAAAAAACACAGCATTGGGGGCAGCGTGGTAGCTGGTTTTGGTAGATTGCTTGCTACACATGCCTGGAGTGTGGGTTTGTTCCCCAGTGCTCTATAAACTGGGCCGATGACACACACCTGCAACCCAGAACTCAGGAGGTAGAGGCCAGAGGGTTTACAGCTCAAGTCCACGCTTGGTTACAGGGGGAGTCAGTCAAGCAGGGTGGGATAACATAAGATTAGGCCTCAAAAAAGAGTCCACAACATGCTACAGCCTACGATTCAATTATGTGCAGTTAGATATCCTGAGGAAGGAAGGTATGTCTGCTATTTCCCTAAAACTGCGGTTGAAATACCCACCACGCGCACATGGCGCATGTCTATAGCCCCAACTCTGAGGCCGGCTGAGACAGAGCCTCAACTTACACCAGCCAGGGCTACAAAGGCTTGGACGCCAGCCCCAAACCCTCCCAACACCCTCTCCCACAGAAAATTATGTCAGAATAGACGACCGTTCGCACAGACTCAGCGCCCCAAGGTGCCCAGAAACTCACATATGCTGAAGAAGCATCATCTGCAGCTCTCCCAGGCTGTGGCCAAATAGCTTTTCTGCACCAGGTGAGATGAGGCAAGGTGAGGCGGGGCAAGGACTGCAGGATGGCCAGCATGCACGGCCGCAGGGACCTCCCTCTGTTACGCATGCGCAGACCAGCGAAGCCGGAGTGCCCCCACTTGCCCTGCGCAAAGCCGGAGGTCTCCAGGGATCCTCGGCCCCTCCAGCCACTCCAGAGTCTTCCCGCCAAAGACACATCCAATCAGAAAGGGCCAGCGCTCCAAATCGAGCCACATCCAATCACAAGTGGGATGAGGGAGCTAGGCCCGCCCCCACGGAGCTCTGGACCAATGAGCATCCAGGAGAGCTCGTTAAATACCCCTACCTTCCGGCCCTGGACCGTTAGGCGCACGAGAGAGGCGGTTGCGGAGCGGTGCTGAGGGACGGCTGGAGCGGCTGAGGTGGTCTGCAGGAGTGCAGCATGGTGAGAGCAGCCCCAGGCCGGGGTGGGCCCCGGGAGGGAGACCGGTGACCTCGGAGTGGGGGGCTTCCCCAGGGCCCGCGGTCCTGCGAGGGCCAGCGAGGGGCCGGCGAGCGAGGGCCACCTAGGGGCCAGCGAGGGCGAGCAGCCCGGGAGGCCTCCTCCCGCCCGCGGCCCGGCAGCCCTGGCTCAGAGCCTGGGGGCTCAGGCCCAGGTTCTCGCGAGAACGAGATTCTCCACGGGATGCAGTACCCCCTGGAGTCCCAGCCCTGCAGAGGCTGACCAAGTGGGCGCAAGGCAAGGGTTCGAGGCCAGCCCAGCCTCAGAGAATTCTAAAGAAAATACAGCAAAAGAGGGTGGCAGACAGGTTGTGGAGAGGGAGCTTTTGTGTTTTCAGTTCTCAGGGCCCTTGACTGAAGGAACAAACAATGGCGTTGGTTCTAGAAGATTCTAGACGCCACCTAGCTTTCTGAGCCCAGTGCTCACCATGGGAAAGGAAACGTTGCTGAGCCTGAAGAGCCTTTGTTTGGGATTTTAAGACGGTCTGCTCCTCAGTGTAGGGATCACAGATGTTTGCCACCAGCTCCACCCTAAAGAACCTGTGTGCTTTGTGCCTACTGCTGTTTGTCATGCGATATGGTTTATAAGTGGGACCAGTGTTCCCGGTAGAAAGCAGATCTCAGATGTGTCGTGTGGCATGCCATAGTCCCAGGCACTGTGGAGGCCGAGGCAGGAGAATTGAAAAATTAAGGTACATACAAAATCACTGTGCTGATTAGTTTTTGTCAGCTCGACACAAACTGGAGTCACGTGGGGAAAGGCTAAATCCCCAACCCCGAAATTAAACTTTGAAAATTTGCACAACTTCCCTGTAAATTAAATAGAATCCTTTTGTTGCTTTTTTTTTAAAAAATCTCTTTTCGTTGAAGAATCTTTGCAGTTTTTTTTCTTTAGGGAAAGGGGGTCTATTTATTTTTGAGACATAGAAGCCTTTCTGGGGTTTTTAAAATATTAGATAAGGGACTATATATGCTTCATTTTTTTATTACATTCACTTATTTGCATGAATGTGCACATGACTGGTGGAGATCAGAAGACGACATGCTGAGTTGGTCTTTTCTTCCACTGAGTGGGTCCCAAAGATAAAACAGGTCGTTAAATTTGGTAGTAAGTGCCTTTAGTTACTGACCCATATCGCCAGACCTATATTAGCTTTTATTAAGAAGACTGGTCGCTAGGCATAGTGATACCTTTATTCCCAGCACTAGGGAGGTGGAGGCAAAGTATCTTTGAGTTTGAATCAGCTGGAGCAATATAGTGAGACCCTGTCTCAAAACAAAAGAAAATTGCCGGGAAAATAGAAAGCAAGGTTTTGGGCCTTTCCAACTTTCAATGCAGCACAAAGTAGCCAGCTGTAAGCTCGGGAGATCCATGAGGCCTACCTAAGGTGTAGAAATACTGAGTCAAAGAAGCAGTTTCTTATCTTCTGAACAGCAATTAACTATTGTTTGCAGTGTTGGGATAAAAAATGCTATTTCATTTTTAAGTTGACCACAAGCACATGTAATTGCTGATGCCACTAATTCAACTGTCTGCACTTGAAAGCTAGCACACTAGAAGATACATACCACCAGTTTATAACTGAAGCCATGTATGAGTACAAACATCAAGAACATATATACACTTAGCATGACATTGCAGTACAGTGTTACCATGTATAAAATGATGCACAAGAACCCATGATTTACAAAGAAAAAGTATATTTTCTAAAGTTCATAGTCACATTCATAGCTCTCCGGGGTCATATGTGGCACATGGGCCACAGATAGCATACCCCTAATGTGGAACATGTGATATGGCATCCTTCACATTTCATTTAATCTCTATATATTTGTGGGGATGACTTGTTTAAAACTGAACAAGTGGCTACTGGGTATAATTAGGTCCTGTCATGAAATAGGTACTCCATTTAAAAATGACTTGGGTAGAAACAAAAAAGGTACAATTTATAAACATAGGGTTAAAGAAACCATAAGCTGGATATAGTGGCACATGCCTATAATCTTAGCACTGTGTGTACTGAGGCAGAAAGATTGCAATTTTCAGGCCAGCCTGGGCTATGGCCAATCCCTGCCTTCAAAGTTTTAAATAAAGAAAAAATCAAGATAGACTAGCATCTCAATCCTTCAGCGTCTGGAATGTTACCTTCCTAGACTGAACGGAAGTAAATTAAGTCATTAAGCAGGACAGCATCTTTATGAGGACTATTAACTCAGAAGTGGCGGTCCTCAGATGTTGTGTACATGAATCAGCTTCCTGGTACACAGAATGGGATGGAGAATGATAAAGGGTTGGTCTAGATGGGCAGATAGAAGACAGTGATTGCCTGGGCTTAGACTGGGTGACCTGGGACCTGTTCTGTCTTTCCTTACTGGAGTGTGTCGTGTCTTTTAGTTGGGCCACAGTTAAAACCTGATAGACCTTTTTCAGAGAATTCAACTATCCCTAATGAGCTCTTAAACTTCAAAATTTTTGGAGGGTGGCAAACACTTATGCTCTGGGGCTAACTGCTACTTAATAGAATGCTTAGCTTGGTGTGAGGGCTGCTTACATCTGTAATCCTAGCACTTGAGAGGCTGAGGCAAAAGGATTGCCTCTAGTTTGAGGCCAGCAGGGTTAGTGAAACTATATCAAAATAGGGTAAGTTTAGAGCAGACCAAGCTGTTTTCTCTGTGTAAGTGTCTGTGTCGGTGTGTCTGTTTTGAGATAGGGTTGGACTTGAACTCTACCTAATCTTTCCTTCTGAGTACTGGGATAATGGGCCTATGCAACTATACCTGGTGGCAGTCAGTTTTACTAGAGATAAAAGGCATGCCTTAGCATTGTTACAAGTAAAGTTTGAAAATAGACATTGTGGCACTGCACAAAATTATGCTTGCATGTCAAACAGTTTGAAGTGAATGAATGTCATGTCTGTTCTGCTTTCCAGCGTGAGTGTATTTCTATCCACGTGGGGCAGGCAGGTGTCCAGATTGGCAATGCCTGCTGGGAACTGTACTGCCTTGAACATGGTATTCAGCCTGATGGTCAGATGCCAAGCGACAAAACCATTGGTGGCGGGGATGATTCATTCAACACATTCTTCAGTGAAACCGGAGCTGGCAAGCATGTGCCCAGAGCAGTGTTTGTGGACCTGGAGCCCACTGTGGTCGGTAGGTGCCTGGGCTCTGGGTGGAGGCTCTCCTGGGAGAGTGGGAGTGTCAGGAAAAGCCACTGAAATCTCTGCAGAGTAGACAAGCTATACAAACGTGTGCTTGTGACTGTTGGGTGAGAAACTGAAAGGGTTGTATGTGGTTTACATATAATCAAAAACGAGGAGACAATGTTGACACATGTGCACAGTGGAATTGAATGTCCTTTGCCCGAAAGACTCATGGGATATATGGTCTCTCTAGATGAAGTGCGTACCGGAACCTACAGGCAACTTTTCCACCCAGAGCAGCTGATCACTGGGAAGGAAGATGCAGCCAATAATTATGCCAGAGGTCATTATACCATTGGCAAGGAAATTGTCGACCTGGTCCTGGACCGGATCCGAAAACTGGTAAGAGGATTGCAGAGGAGGCTTCATGTGGTTATCCTGGTCAGGAGAGTCACTGTTGGTGGTGGGGGTATGGTCATTTTGCCAAAACTGTTAAAATCAAGAATCTATCATGAGTTTACCAAAATACTTGACTACACGGCCTCTGCTTTGATGCATCCATGGGTCTTCGTTGTGTTGTTTGAAGTGCAGCGTGTATGTTGTAGACGGTCTGAATTTGCACCAGTTGCGGAAATGGAAGTCTTGAATGTGGGGTTTGGAGGTTGGGGGCGTGGCTTTGTAGGCATTGGCTTACTGGCTTACATCCTCTGGTTTTTCAACAGGCAGATCTGTGCACAGGACTGCAGGGCTTCCTCATCTTCCACAGCTTTGGAGGTGGCACAGGATCTGGGTTTGCATCTCTGCTTATGGAACGGCTTTCAGTGGACTATGGCAAGAAGTCCAAGCTGGAATTTGCCATTTACCCAGCCCCACAGGTTTCCACAGCCGTTGTGGAGCCCTACAACTCCATCCTGACCACACACACGACACTGGAACATTCCGACTGTGCTTTCATGGTAGATAATGAAGCCATCTATGACATCTGTCGGCGCAACCTGGATATTGAACGTCCCACATATACCAACCTCAATCGACTGATCGGGCAGATTGTGTCATCCATCACAGCCTCTCTGAGGTTTGATGGGGCCCTGAATGTGGATTTAACAGAATTCCAGACCAACCTGGTGCCATACCCTCGCATCCACTTCCCACTGGCAACCTATGCCCCAGTCATCTCAGCTGAGAAGGCATACCATGAGCAGCTGTCAGTGGCAGAGATCACCAATGCTTGCTTTGAGCCAGCAAATCAGATGGTCAAGTGTGACCCTCGCCATGGCAAATACATGGCCTGCTGCATGTTGTACAGAGGGGATGTGGTCCCAAAAGATGTCAATGCGGCTATTGCTACCATCAAGACAAAGCGCACCATCCAATTTGTGGATTGGTGCCCAACTGGATTTAAGGTAGGATTGGGGGCTGTGACAGTTTTATCTGCCAGCAAACAACAG